CATCGAATACATTGCGGTTAGCGCTCTAGTATTCTTATTATATCTCTATGGGCGTAACGCGAACACCTTATCTCAGATTCATGGCAACGACTAGGACGCCCTCTTCCAAAACTGATTACTTTTCTGTGCCAAATCGACGCTTCTATTTGTAACGCGTAAATCGCGGAGAACGCTATCTTGTGTTTATAAGATCTTTGATAATATCAGCATGTTTTATAATAATGTGAAAATAAATTTCCTCAAATCAATTATATCATACGGTAACTCAATACCAGCAATGTTTTCAGTCATCCTGCTGGTATAGCTTTATATCGATATGGTATATACATTTTCATTCATTAATTTGATAACATACAATACAATACATCAACTGTTAGGCGCACATGAATATCTCCTGCTGCTGAATATGCAAAGTAGGGCGGCATAATATCATCTTGTAATAGGTCTTCTTCTCCAAAGGCATCTTCTAGAGCAGCCGACACAAATAAAGGATTAGACGGATCGCTTGGATTGTATATTTCCACCTAAAAGAAAGAAAATGATAATAGTAATAATAATATAATAATATATAATTATCATGAACATGGACAAATTCTTGAAAGTAAACCATTAAATGTACGTAGTATTTGTGACGTTTCGATCCGTTATCAACGGATCTTCATCAATGACTGATTTGCTAGTGTAAGTGGGTCGCCCTCTACCAGTTAGGACAGGACTGACCAGTTGGTTGTAACTAGAGTTTCTATGCGCCTTCTTTTCTGTTCATGTCACGTTCTCATCGAAAATAGCCTCTCGTATTTGCCGTTGTTGTCTGTGGCATTCAGTTTTGATGACTTGTGCATCTTGCCAGTCGGGGATATGGTTGAGTTTGATCATATGGTCTGTGACTGCTGATTTGTGTTGTATATGTAAGGTGGATAGGGAAGCCCAAGCAGCTCTGGTGATGACCCCCTTTGTGTTATTTAGACTTCTGCCAAAAAAGCAATTCAATTAGGCCTACCATTTATCACTTAGAATGCTTCTACTGTCCATTAATTACAACTACAATATGGTTTTGTAATTTACAGATCGATACGATAAATAATATTACCATTGTTATTTTAAATACATCCTGCATATGCCTCTTAAGGCCAACTCAGACAGCGTCGGCCGACGCAGCCCGACCCGATTTATCGTCGGGGACAGTCTTAAGCCGTCGTGAGAAATATTAAACATGTTTAATATTCTACTACGTGACTGCCCCCGACGCACACCATCGCGTCTGCGTTCAACTCACACAGACCCGACGCGACAACAAATCGCGTCGGGCTGCGTCGGCCGACGCTGTCTGAGTTGGCCTTTAATGGCTGCGTCCTGGTCTTTGTAAACGTTTATTTTGTATATTTTATGTTATGAATGATTAAAACATTACCTTAAACAATGATGCTAAGTCAATTTCATACAACTGCGAAATATTTTTATATCTGTAGGCTATATGTAAGCTCAACTCCAAACCCGGGCGACAAAGACAAATATGAACCCATCGGAATTCAAAGACTTGTAATGAAAACTCTGCGTTTCAATGATTCATAGACAAAGGTGTCGATCATCATACAGTATTATTGTCTTTCCAATTGGATATTATTGATCAATTCTAATTCGTAGGGTATGACGTAAAGGCGGGCACTCACTGCATCGTACGACGGTCGTACGACGCCTGTCGACGAATCCAACTCCGCTCCCTGTGAACGTTAAACGACGCCTCGCCGACTGCGAACGTCGACGGCAATCTGAGCGGATCGACATTAAAAATAGGCTCCCAGCGGGAGCGCATTTCTACTGCTTAATTCTATAGAAACGATGATGTGAAAAAAATGATTAATGATTTATGAATGGTTTAACATCATGGGAGTAAGGGGGGGGGGGTAATACTCTCATGTATATTTGCCTATTCATTGTATACACTACAGTACACCATTTACTGTTAATTGATACATTGCAGTGACACTGATATCCTTATCCTGTTACCAGGACAACTGTTCCTGTTGTGTATAGTGTCTGTACAGTAGTTTAGATATCCACTTACACATGACCTCCACCGGAATTAGAAAGGTCAACTGTTGCGTACTGCACCCTGGGGGCAGTAGACACAAAAACGATCCGTTGCACGTGCGTCGATGTTGTGGTCTTCATAGAGGCTATGTTCTCACACTGCAGCTAACGGTTAGCAGGATCCGGATCCTGCTAACCGTTAGCTGCCGTGCGTCCATGCGAGAAAATCCCGATCCGGATACCAAGAAATGATGATCGAATCACTGAAAGCAGCAAGTGACTTTTCAAGTAAATGGAAACTGGATTTTAATTACAATAAATCCAATGTTCTTATTACAGGACAACGTGTAAATAAATATAGAAAATGGAAATTAGGTAACAATTTTATTACAGAGACTGACTGCTATAAATATCTTGGAATTTATATCTCTAACACTAACACCGACTCACGACACACAGATGGGGTTTTAAGAAAAGGTAATAGAATAATAGCATATATAAAGGCAATTATCTATATCAGGACAACTTTAACAGAGTTTATTTTGGTGACTTGCTTGGGAGAGTAATCGGTTTACCTACCATCAGTTATGGTTGCTCTGTTTGGCTTAGTGGTTGTAAATCCTCAACCGACAAAATTGAAAACCTTCAATATGAAATGGCAAGAATAATTCTAATAGCACCTAGATATGTAGCTAAAGAAGCATTATACGGAGATCTAGGATGGTACACAATTGCCAGTATACAAAATAATTTTAAAATTAAATATTTCAACCGTTTGAAAAACCTAGACGATGACAGGTGGCCCCGATTACTCTTGAAAGCAATTATGCATAATGAAAATAAAATGAAATGGAAATGGTTGAACTTCATTAAGCAGCTTCTTTCGAGGCATGACTTAAACCGTGAATTTCGTGTAAATTAATCAATTTGCCTTTCATCTGATTTTAAACTCATAAATTGTACAAATGATGATAATGAATGGTTTGAAAGAGCTTGTAAGAAATCAACTTTAAATGAATATCTCAGATATAAAAACAAACCTTTTTTTGAAACATATCTATATGATAAAACTGACTTCAAAGGAATCAGCCTTAAG